CTGATTGAAGAATGCCGAAGCAGACTGCAGAAGCAACTCATTATGCTTAACCACTTTGTGTTTGATCAGTTATTGTGGCAATTAATACAGGGAATATGTTGTAGCATCGAAAATCAGGAAGTGAGAACTTTAAACTCTTTTTTGGGTCGTAGCAATATTGATATGTAATTCCAAGTTGATTTACTTTTCCTTTTAGGGAATCTCCGCCACACATATTTTTCTTTGATTTTTGCTTTTTGATAGGTTGTTTTTTAATTGCACATTCTAAAGAGTGTGGGGGGATTAGTAGCGTTATCTGTGGGCGCGATGTTGCAAAATGTAATCTGGATCTATCTTTTGTACTTCAAAACAGACAACGGCTTATTATTGGATATGACATATTTCGGTCTTTCAAGTTGGAGTAATCCTTTTTAAAGCAAGACATAAAGTATTCTTTCAAGGAACAACGAAGATTTTGTTAAGAGCTATAAACCCTTACGAATGATTCATTGAAAAAAGATTTCTATCTATTTGCATGCGATTGAAGGCCTTGTTTTAAATGTCGTGCTGTTTGCAGATCCTGTTCTATCCCGAAGGCACGGATAAATGTCCATTAGCCACAGAAAGAAGTAGAAAGTATGCGGAGAAGAATCAGCTGGTACATTATGAGTACGTTCTACATCCACGCACAACAGGATTTGTCCACATGATACAGAATATGAGAAGAGGTATGTAATTGTTATAAACATCGAAATACGACTTTTTTCAATAAAAGATGTGAGTGGTTGTATTTTCGATAATAACATTGCAGCCGATTACATTGGCTATATCTACGATGTGACCATTGGTTTCAATGACTGCATAGTCCAGTCAGAGATCGACTTTGCTAAGTATGGTGTATGCCCGAAGGATGTACACTATCAAGTGAGACAAACTCCATCTTTCAGTGATAGTTGTGTGACACTCTTGAGACTCATACTTTAAAGGTGCGAAAAATCCCAATCAGTGAAATTCCTGAAGATGACAAGGAGTTAAGT